CGGACCAAAAAAAAAAAAAAAAAAGTTTTCAAAAAATTCCGAAAAAAAATTATGATGTGGAGAAAAATAAACTAAACAACATTTGCCTGGGCACTACATCCAAAATCCTTACCAAATTTGAATTAAAAATCAAATACAGAAAATAAACACTATGATCAAAATAAGAAAAAATAAAAAGAGAATTAAAATGAGTGAGTGTGCCAGCACCTTTTCGACACGGCCTTCTTTGCCGATTCTTAATTATTTTTTGGCATTGACAAATGCCCTGAAAATTTACAGATATTTAGTTTACGTAATCAATAACTCATTCAAAATTTTTCAAAAAATAATAAAATTTTTTAGGCCCCGAAATAAAGTGAAAACAAAAAGTTAAAAGTGAAAAAAAACAAAATAGTGAGTGGGCGAGCACGTTTTGACACCCCCACCTTTGACGATTTTTAATGTTTTTTTGGCTTAGCAGAATGGCTTCAAAATTAATAGGCGTGTAGGTTACGTCATAGAGAACTCACAAAAAAAAATTCAGAAACAAAAACTTATTTTTAGGCCCCGAAAAAAAATTTGGTGGGGCCGAACCTGGAGGTGTTCGGCCCCCGAACGGGACCCCGAACGCCCGAACGTTCGGGGGCCAGCCTGGGGGCCCCCGAACGTTCGGTCAGGTAACCCTGTATAATATACATAATACATATATATATATTTATCTTTAAATCTAGGCTACCAGCCGGGCCGCCCGGGTCCCGGGTGGCCAGCCCGTGCAAGGACCAGGGAAGGTCCAGGCTCCCAACAAAAAAAAAAAAAAAAATCAAAAAAATCAAAAAAATCCGCAAAAAACTGTTATGCAGAAGAATAAACTGAACAACCTTTGCCTCAGGGTCACATCAAAATTCTTCACCAAATTTAGATTTTTATTTATTTATTTCTGATTTTTTTTCTTCGCCCGGCCGGGGAGGTGACCCCGGGCCACTCTGGTAGCCTAGCTTTAAATCTTTTTTAAGCATTTTTTTAATCTTGCGAGGGTTTATCCCTCGGCATAGGGCCCTGCAGCAGGTGCGTGCCCGCCCTAAGTGAAGGCGGGCCCCCTGAATCTCAACGCGCCCTGAACTCGTCAATTTTTGCAAATCTTGGTCGGTGCCAGACAGTTGCCACGCGCCAGTTGGTTACAATCCGCCTTGCTCGTGAGAATCCAAAATATTCGTGAGCCTTCCAGGGGCGAGGTCCCACAAGCAACGGGATAGGATAGAAACGAGTTTGTGGGGCAGTTGAGTGACCCAAATCCTGCCATGCAGTACTCGTGATCCCACGGTCAGTACTTTACATGTATAACCCGAAAAAGTAAGGAGATCTTTGTTCCCCTCCTCTCCTTAACACTGGGCATGGCCGTGCAAAGAAAGCTTCCCGCCAGAATCTTTTCAATTGGTTGGGGGTGTGGCCAACCCCAAACAAGGTTGGGGTCGGCCTCAGCCTACTGGATAGAAGTTTTTCAGCATTTTACTTGCTGTTGTGCAATTATCTCATTGGGTGGAGCCCTCCTTCAATCACGGAGGATATGGAGGGTGTCAGGATCACTGCTGACAGAAGTCGAGTTTATTCCAGAAAATGTGGCAGTTACTTTGTTGACTGTTTTTTTTGGCCTTTTTCCTGTTTTCTCAGTCCAGAAATTCGTAATGAACTTGTCTGGCCGCTGCCACTCAGTGTCACACTGGATCGGCCATACTCCTATCCGACTGCTAATGGGACCTCGCCCCAGGCTCTTCCAGCAATGTAGTCGAAGCAGGGAGCATAACACGTTTGTGCTTGGGTGGTTGGGCATGCTTAACCAATTCGGTCCCAGGCCACTGTCTGAATCAGGCCTGGGCACAGACACTTTTGCCGAGACTGAAGCTACTGGAAACTCGGTCTCACGTGGGGAGGCAAAGGCAAGCGCCCGCCTCTTTCCATATAGGAAAGGGCAGGGTGCAGGGCTGGTATTGGGGCACTTGCACTTGCGGGCGGCAGCGCTGCTGGAGCATAGACTCACGGACTGCTTGCTGCACTGGCGCGAGGTGCGGCCGTGCGCAGCCGTCTAGAGGATACAGGGCACTGCTGAGGGCAGCACCCATAGCCCAGCCTTCATAGCCAGGATGGGGCTTGTACACAGTTAGCGGGTGGTGGTGGTCTTCATGTGGGATGGAAGACATGGGTGATGAAGACGAGAGAGAGAGAGAGAGAGAGAGAGAGAGAGAGAGAGAGAGAGAGAGAGAGAGAGAGAGAGAGAGAGAGAGAGAGAGAGNGAGAGAGAGAGAGAGAGAGAGAGAGAGAGAGAGAGAGAGAGAGAGAGAGAGAGAGAGAGAGAGAGAGAGAGATGAGGTTGATGATGTGAGGGCACGTACCTGGTCTTGGCTATGGTCTACAATGGTCGACATCTTCATGTACTTTGGTTCTGCCGCTGATGTCAACAGGATGCATTGTCAATTCGTAGGCTGCTAATAAGCTGCGTGATCGTAGTCTGGGCGCTGAGCGCCAAGTAGGAGGCAGGACTCTGGATACATATGTTGGTGGTGGCGAGAGTATGCTGTCATTGACATTTGGATTCAGTGCTTTGGTTCTCCGTTGGTGGAATATCAGTCCATTTCTGCTTTCTGGACAGTGTTGGACTTTCTGGCTTTCAATGTGAATTGCATTCTGGAATTCTGTCATTTCGCTATCGCTCATTTTCCTTGCGATCTTTTCTTTTTATTATTTTTATTAGTTTTTTTAATTTTTTTTTTCAATCTTTTTTTTCCCAAAAGGCACAAGTGCAAGGAAAATGAGCGATAGCGAACATCAGAAACCAAGCAGCATCATACACATGAGACCAGATAGTCATGACCTCGAACCAAAAGCAGAATTGCAACACGAGTCCCACCAAATAAGAGCACAGCAAAAGCTCATAAGTTACAATGTTCGAATAGTCTCGTCATCATCAACAAAGAACCAATGTCGATATCCTATCTGGCGCTCTGCACCCAGGCTACAAATGGCAGATCCTATCTAGCCTATCTACAATGCCGCTGGTGACGTCCACAGCTCCCTGAAGTACGAGCAGATCTAGGCCAATGCCGTTCTCCTCAAGCACCAGGTATGTCTCTCGTATCACTCACAACCTCGATCCCCCACTCACAGATGCCACGTGCACCCAAGGACCACCATGCGCCTCATCCAGCTATGCAGCACAGCTCGGCTATGGCTGCCTGGTTCTCTCTCGGCTCGCCCGTGAGCGCGTAGCGCAGCAGCGGTTGCGCAGCATGCAGCCAGTGCTCGAATGAGGAACGCGGGGGCAGGCACTTTCCTAAATGGAAGTGGCCTGCTTGCTGTGTGCGACCTCGCTGTACCGGGCCCCGGCCTAGAAGCTTCCGGTAGGGCCCGGGAGGCTGAGCCCCAGTCTGCACGAACCAGGCCCAGGGCCTGTGACAGTTATCCGTGCCCAACTGCCCGCAGCCTGAGTTGGGTCCTTGTTGCGTATTTCGCCCAGGACCTGACTCAGATGCATTTGATAAAGGTAGCCAGGGCCTGGGCGCTTCCAACCAGCTGGCGCTGCGCAACTGCCTGAATTTCCCCAGTAGCGCCGAGACCCCAAAATAGGCCTCGGTCGGGCCTGCCTTCACTTAGGGCGGCCGACTGTACTGGAAAGAGGGCCCAGTAGGGCTTATCGAGGCCTTGAGCCTCGCACAAGTTATATTCTGTGATTAATGTGCAGCGTCCCTTCTTTGAGTTACTGGTTGCCTCGTTATCTCCGTACCTCTACATGATAAAGGGCCTCTTTTTTTTCTTTTTTCCTTTTTTGAAACCTCTGCATGCAAATATGCAGAACTTAACAGAATAAAGGTCAAGCCATCAAACGCCAAGCGAGGACCAAGTGCTTAACATAACTATCTGTTAAAGTGTGGCATGCCTGGTCTGAAAGCACATGCCATTCCGTTCCTGGCTGCTACTGGTGGGCTTCGGTGGCCGTTCACTCTTCGGTTGTGTGCATCACAAGATTGATGAACCTTGTCTGATGCACACAACCGACAGTGAATGATGACTCTTCTCTGCACCACACCATGTGGAACAAATCACGGTGCATTGCTCTTTTGGTGTGTGAACTTCACGCGGAGTGGAGCAATGCACCACACTTAGGGAGAAGAGGGAGAAGAGGACAACAGACTTAGTATAAACCTCTATAAACTTAGTATAAAACATATTGACGCACATGGTGTGTTTTTCATGCACATCGTGCTCTGCAAATCCTGGTATAAACCTCTATAAACTTAGTATAAAACATATTGACGATATATATGTATATATCATCAAGCAGAGCTGCCCGGTAAACCGTAGGCACAGAGGGAGAAGAGGACAACAGACTAGGGGTTGTGACAAACTGTTTTTCATGCACATCGTGTCGTGCCCTTTCCCTGGGACTGAGCTGCAATGGGACTGGGACTGGACACATGGTGACTCCCTACCTCTCGACTGAGCTGCAATGGGACTGGGACTGATCTGCAATGGGACTGGGACTGGACGCATGGTGACTCCTTATCTCTCGACTTTTAAGGACCCTCTACTGTTCCTACTGGTCTTGTCCTATCAGATCTCTATTCTAATCGGAACAGCACCTTCCGGAAAGGTCTACACTGGCCCTAAGGTACAAAAAAGAAAATGGGACATGGTACCGGGGCTGTACTCTGCTAGCGCATGAATCCTTTCAAGACGGTCTTTCATGTGACGTTTTTTTTTTTGCATTTTGTTCTGCAATTGTTTGTTCCTGCAATTTTTGTTCATGTTTTTCTACAACTATTGGCGGCTCTGATATGAGATGATAGCCGTGAAAATTGCTCTCGTCCAGTCTGAACAGTACCTTCCAGAAAGGTCTACATAGGGCCTAAGGTGCGAAAAAGTAAATGGCACATGTTCCCGGGGCTGTACTGTGCCAGTTCATGAATCCTCTTAAGACAGTCTTTCCTGCGACCTTTTTTTTTTGCTGCATTACGAACTGTTGGCAGCACTGATATGAGATGACAGCCGTGAAAATTGCTCTCGTCCAGTCTGGAAGTTGAGATTTCCACGTGTTTAAAAACTTTGGAAACTTGGAAAGTGCGTATGTGGCGTTCTTGTTTTTTTTTTCCCCCCTTTCAGGAAACTGGCACACAGTGCACTGCAGAGGTGGCCTCTCAGAAAATTGGACTTTCTTGAAGTTTCTTCTGTGCATCGTTCCAATTTTAACGGATGTCGCGGAGGATTCTGGCAGGTTTTGGGCTCGTTGACCAATACTATTTTCTAGTTGTAATAAGCATGAGTTCGAATAACCCCTAACCTTATTGGATTTATCTGATCCCAGGAGGATTCGATCCTGCGATTTGTTTAACAACCATTGCACTTAGTGTATCATTCACTGCATTCAGCCAGATGGGCTGGGTGTCGACAGATAACCTTGTGCCCTAGCTGATCAGTGAACGATCTGTTCTCTTTTGTGCTTTGTGACCTGGTGTATGGGTGGTGAAGGTAACATATCTCTCGATGATTGATGCGTATGGAAAAGCTGGATTACATGCGAAGGCTGAGCAAATTTTCAAGAGCATGCAGGATGCCGGATTTGAGCCGACGCTGTTGACCTACAGCTCATTGATAAACGCATATGGAAAAGCCGGGCTTTATCGTGAGGCGGCAACAATATTCTGCAACATGCAGTCGGCCGGTTGCCAGCCAAACCTCATCACATACGCAGCCCTTTTGTCGGCATGTGGGCGCGATCCGGATTGGGAAAAGGCGATGACGGTGATGGATGCGCTGCTGCACTCGGGTCAAGAAATCGAGCTAGCACTTTGCTCACTTATCATAGGAATACCGAAATGGAGGGATTATGACGAGGTTGACGAGGATGAGGAAAATGAAAAGGAGAAGGACACTGGGGTATGGAAACGAGCGGAGAAGATGTTCTCTATCGTTCGCGGCCATAGTGTCATGGCGAAGCGCTCCTTCTTCAATGCTCTGATAGATGTACTTTGGTTCTTTAAACTCCGGGGAAGAGCAAAGAGGGTGCTGGCAGCAGCACGGGAGATTGGTGCCTATCCAGAAGACTGTTGTGTTTTTGGAGACGATGTGTGGACGCTTGACCTCCACAAGCTGTCAATAGGGGCGGCGCTGACTTTACTCATGACGTGGATGGCAGAACTGCAGCTGGCGCTAGAGTGGGGTGCAGAAGTGCCGAATACAGTCCGAGTGATCACGGGATGGGGGCGTCATAGCCGATCGGGAGAGTCAGCGGTCAAAGTAGCAGTGGAGGAATGTGTTTCAGAGTTGGGGTTACCCTTCAGAGTTATCAGGGGCAATGAGGGATCCTTTCTGGCATCGGGGAAAGCTCTTCACAAGTGGCTTTTATCGGACAAGGCAGCAAGCGCATTGATCCTGCAGGATGAAGAGATTGCAATGCCACGGAAAGGGTACAATGCTGACAGGGGTATGGTTGAGAGTTCGGAAGATGAAAGCGGGTGAGAATTGTAAACAGTGACTCAGCAGCCAGATCGGCAGTTGTCATTGTCTTCCGCCATCCAAAGGTCTTTTTAGCTGCAGGAAGGGTGGATGACCGATGAGGCTGAAGGACAACCAGTGAGGACAACAAAACGTTTCCTACGTGGTTAGTTATACCATCATGCGAGTGGCGACTGGACCTACATATATGATCAGTAAGTTGATCAAGATGTTGATTCTTTCCTGGATCTTATCCTCCCCATTTTTTCATGCCGTTTTCGGCACTCCAAAGTTTGAACCCTTCGCTTTTCAGCATCTCTCTCTCTCTCTCTCTCTCTCTCTCTCTCTCTCTCTCTCTCTCTCTCTCNACACACACACACACACACACACACACACACACACACACACACACACACACACACACACACACACACATGCACATGTTGTAGCACAACTTGTTATGGCGGTTCATTCATGCCTAGATCAGATGTTCAAAGCACAACACACTGCGCCTCTCCCAACTTCTACGACCATATGATATCCATATCCAACCGGTACCCCAGCGGGGCCTTCTAGATGAAGAGCCAACTAAGGAAGGGAGGTGATGGTCCGGCAATAGCCAAAGGTAAGCCTTTCTGCTGGATCTCTCCTTCCGCCTCCTGCACTCTACTTGTCTTCTCTAGGTTCACCATACCCTAGCTTGAACTCCTACTTTGTCTCCCTCCGTTGCTATGCCTTCTCCCTCTACTCCTTATCCTCCATGACCCACACAGTTGCAGTGTGAGAATTCTGCACTTCTCTGAGAAAATGCTGTCCTTTATGATGCGCTTTGCTGTGTTTTCTACTTGTATATGTGATCTGCCGCTATTGTATACATGTCATGTGCTTGCCTGAGTCCAAGTCTGAGTCCATGTGCAAGTCTGTTAGCCATGTTGTACGGCTCTGCCTAATAGAGACAAATAAATGACAGGGGTATGGCCAGGGTGGGCGCACTTGGGGAAAGACTGGCAGCCAGGGACATGAGTATAATTTGTTAGAGTCCTGGTTGTTAGAGGCCTGGTCGGAAAGGGTCTGGTAGATGCCCAGCAGGTAGTGATGGTCGAGGGCCTGAATGTACACCGGTAGGAGTCTAGATTTGGGATCTATAGATAGTTGTCAGTCTGCATGGATGCCCACGACAGAAGCAAGAGCACACAGTAGTCCGAGGGCACCTAAGGGAGGCCGACCAAAAGATACTATAGCTCAGGCCGCTGAGAGTATATCATTGGGTGCAATGCGTAGTTGAGGATATCTTGGGAAGCATCCAAGCTGGTATTCCGCCTTGAGGGAAAGGCTGGCCGAGCATCTGGAGGCGAAGGTGGAGCTTGAGGGTGAAAGAGAAAACCTCCATGACAATGGAGTAAAAGTAGCTAGTGGTAGGGGAAGCCTAGGCTATGGAGGTAGAGAGAGAATACCTTCCAGCTGGGCAATGGTGAAGGAGAGAGGATGAAGGAGGGAGAAGGAGGTGGGAACCACCAAGGAGACTCACCTTTGGCTGTGGCGTTCCTGGTTGGCACTGCATCAAGAAGGCCCCTGTTGGGGTACCGATTGGACATGGACTCCAACCAGAGAACAAGGATGGTGGAAGTAGAGAGGAGAGAGCTTGAGAGAAGTTGCGTTGTCCTTTGAATATCGCTCAGGACGAACCGCCATTGCTAGTAGCCATACCAAGTGGGGGAGAAAGGTGGAGTGGGCTGAAGGAGAGCTCTTTCAAGTCTGGGATTAAGGGGAATCATTCGTAGATTCTTGTTCATTCATTGAATTTCCATTCATTGTTATTTCTTATTGATAAAGACTTGGAGGTGATGATGGAGGGAGAGATGATGGTGGCCAGATATGGAGGGACATGACACTGGTTCCCTCTTCTTCTTCTTCTTCTTCTTCTTCTTCTTCTTCTTCTTCTTCTTCTTCTTCTTCTTCTTCTTCTTCTTCTTCTTCTTCCTCTTCTCCCTCTCCTTCTTCTCCCTCTTCTCCCTCTTCTTCTTCTCCCTCTTCTTCTTCTCCCTCCTCCTCTTCGTCGTCGTCGTCGTCGTCTTCTTCTTCTCCTTCTTCTTCTTCTTCTTCTTCTTCTTCTTCTTCTTCTTCTTCTTCTTCTTCTTCTTCTTCGTCGTCGTCGTCGTCGTCGTCTTCGTCTTCGTCTTCGTCGTCGTCTTCTTCGTCTTCTTCGTCTTCTTCGTCTTCGTCTTCTTCGTCTTCTTCTTCGTCTTCGTCTTCTTCGTCTTCTTCTTCTTCTTCGTCGTCGTCTCCTTCTCCTTCTCCGTCGTCGTCTCCTTCTCCTTCTCCGTCGTCGTCTCCTTCTCCTTCTCCGTCGTCGTCGTCTTCTCCTTCTCCTTCTCCTTCTCCTTCTCCTTCTCCTTCTCCTTCGTCGTCGTCCTCTTCTTCCTCTTCTTCTTCGTCGTCGTCATCCCCACGTGAGGATGATGTGGATGTTCACAAGGATACCCAAGGAGAGCTGCACCAACACAGCATTCAGCAGGACGGCTAGCACAAACCATCCCATCAAAACAGTCCTGACAGAGGACATGTTGTCCACATGTCAAAAAAACAGCAGGACGTTCATCACAGTGCGGCATCATGCAGTTCTGATAGCGTCCTTGGACACAAAAGAGACAACGTATATCTGGGTGATAGGGATGTGTACAATGAGGAAATGTTGGACACCCTTCAGTACAGACGGCAGCAGTCGCAATAGATTGATAATGGCTATGGCATAGATGATGCATTCCACAGCCAAGGCGCAACCGCGTCTCTGTCCCGACAGGTGTGACACGAGAGTCGGTCAATAATCCAGAATAAAGTATGATTCGGCAATGCTCGCAAAAATTCATTTACGTTGAAAATAGCCTGAATCATCGTCCCACCATCCCACAGTTCCCACTGGGCAGCCGCACTAAGGAGTGACATATAATGCGCGGGTCTGTGTAAAATGCAGGCAGAAATATGAGGATGGTTATTGAAGTCGTCGCCTGGCGTCGCATGATGCATAAGAAGGTGGCGACTTGGAACGCTAACTGTAAGACATTTACAGTAAAGCCTCCTGTGGTAGTATAGTTACTATCTTCAGGAGGTGGACTATTATGGTTTACAACAACTGGTTTTCAACTGTAAGACATTATGAGCATTACATCCAAATTCCTTACCAAATTTGAAATAAAAATAAAATACAGAAAATAAAAACTAATAAAAAAAAAAATTAAAAATGAAAAGAGAATTAAAATTAGTGAGACACCGCCATATTTGGCGATTTTTCATTTTTGTTTGGCACAGCCAAATGCCCTGAAAATTCACAGATATGTACTTCACATAATACAAAATTCATTAAAGAAGTTAAAAAAAATAATAAGTTTGTTTAGGCCTCGCAATAAAGTGAAAACAAAAAGTAAAAAGTGAAAAAGAACAAAATAGTGAGTGAGCGAGCACATTTTCACACCGCCATCTTTGGCGATTTTTTTTTTTTTTTTTGGCTTAGCAAAATGGCTTCAAAATTTATAGGCACA